GGGTGGGTGGGGCTGTGGCTCCCAGGGGCGGGGCTAAGGCTCGAGGCCAGGTCTTTGGATGTGCTGGGTTTTGGTGCTGCTTTGCAGAGGGGAGAAAGGGGCGGTGACCTGAGAGAGCGGGGAAGCTTCCGAGGGGCTGGGTGACGGACTTGTTCTGCAGCAGGGAGAGTCATGACCTAGGCAAGGCGAAGGCGCGACCCCGGGAGCTGTCGGCTGGCTGGGTTGTGTGCAGGGGAAAGGGTGGGACCATGACATCCGGGGTGGAGCGTAGGCCGAAGTGTGGCTTTGGTGTTTGTCTAGGGGCTAGGCAAGGAGGCCTGCCCTCCTGTGGGGAGGGTGGAGCCGTTACCAGGGGCGGGGCTCAGGGAATGACTGAGTGGGCTGGGCTGCGGTGGGGAAGCAGGACCGAGAGCATCGAGAGGCGGGGCACAGGGCTTTGCCGTCCAACGACTGGGTGAAGGGACTGCACTGCAGTGAGGAGGGCAGGATGTCTAGGGGCAGAGAACAGCGGTGATTGGACTGCTGTTAAGTTGGTCGGGGCTACAGTAGAGGGGCGGGGCACCGCACCTCTAGGACTTAGGGGTCTTTCTTTGATTGCCAGATTGAGCATCTCCTAAGCCTAGCGCTCGGAGGGGCTCGCAACACTACCCAGGACACCGTGGCTACTTCAGCAGGTGTCTGACACAGGGAAATAACTCGTTAAATGGGATCAGATTCCATGATGCTTTCTTCTTAGCACTGGCCACCACCTGTAGGTTCACGTATGGATTATCGGTTCCTGGCTTCTCCGATCTCCCTCTGTGGAAGGTAGTATACCTCTTCTGCTCACCTTGTGTCCCCAGCCTGTGTTGCACATAGTAAGACTTCAACGGTCATGAACAAATGAACCAATATTTATAGGTGTGAAAATTGGAGAAACTAGCATCCTTTGTAAGCTGTCACTCGATCTTCTGCTTAGCACAGCATTATGTCGAGTTAGTGAGTTAGGTAGTCCATACTAAAGATATTGGAGAATGCAGAAATTGTCCTAAATTTGATGTTGAGATTATTGACCTTTCCACTTAAGATGAGAGTCAGATTTCACCCCTGATGATGAGACTGAAGTTCCTTCTTAAAGTTCACCATGCCTCCAGCCACCTCTTCTGACTCTCAACTTGAAAGCTAACGCCTTCCTCCTACTCATTTCTTTCTTTTTAACTTTTTTAGTATAGAAATTTCCCAAAACACACAAAAATAGGGTTGTGTACCTGTCACTGGGTTCCTACAGTTACAGATACTCAGTGAGCTCATGTTTCTCTAATACTTTCACTCATTTCCTTTTCTTTCAACTAGAGATTCAACTCAGGGCCTTGTGCATGCTGAATATGTCCTGCTACTGGGCTGTACCCCCAGTCTCTGCATTCTGATTGGGCATTACTATTACAAACTCCTTCCTGGTACTCTGTGGATTCATGTATCAGCCCAGTATCAAATCTCCTCTTAGGTATCTTCATGTGTCCAGACACTAACTGACCTTACTGCCTCTATCCTGACCTGCTGTTGAAAGTCTTCCTTGTCTCCGTTCTTTGTGTAGCCAAGGCCAGCCACCTGGAGGGCATCTCTAGTCTCGTAACACCTAACGTGTAGACTGTGGAGAAGTCCTGTGTGGCTTCCGGTGCATGGAGAGTGTGACCGTGCTCTTGGGCTCTGACATTCAACCTTCTTGCCGATAATTCTCAGTGGCCCAGGCTTGCCCAATCTTCCCATATAGCTCTCCCTGTCTTGTCTTTCTAAGCTTTTCCCTTCTGCTACAGCTATCCTTACTCCTCTGCCATACTCTGCGATTCTCTTTCTTTGGGTCATGGACATAGGGCCCCTTGGCGCTACTCGCCTCGTTGTTTTGTTCTGTTTTGTGATGAAATCTTACTAAGAATTTCAGGCTGGCCTTGAACTCATTAAAACTACATCGCCATTGCCTTTTTTCCAGTCTATTTCCTTTTTCCTGGCAATTACTACCAAACCTTTTTTTTTTTCTTTTTAATTCAGATGACACACTGAATATTTTGAAAAAAGTTAGAATTTATTAATAATATTTAACATCAGAGCCACCAAACATTCTTATAAATAACTTGTTTATTCTTTTTATTTTGTATCAATTGGGGTATAAGCTTCCTGAAAACAAGAGTTTATTGTTCACTAATATACCCCAGGATGGTGTCTGGCATCTAGCAGGCCAGCAGAGTTACTACCTGTCTGCTTCCTTTTATGAGACACACGTTTGCCATCTGCTGTCAGAATGTATTCAGGCGGGCCGCTGTAGTCAGAGTGACCTAAACTTGAATCTTTGAATCTCTTTGTAGATATGAGAGTTTGGAAAATATACTGAGTGTGAGCTTTGGGCAAGTTCTTGTTTACCTCATGGGTTGTCGTGAGGGTTAAATGAATTTGGGTGTTTATCCTCTAGCCCAGGCCAACACTCAACAAACATAGATAATATATGATGTTGAAAACTGAAAGGAACAACAGCAACAAAAAAATCCCAGAAACATGAGACCGTGTGTAGCTTATTAGGAATATTTCTAGAGGCTGATGGTGCCCTCTTAGGGAGAGGGAAGCAGAGCACAGACCGACCTGGTGCCCCTGCTCACTACCCATAGCTTTGATGGCTGGTGGTGAATTTCTTTGGCTTTAAATCAGAAATCATCTTTACCACTTTTGTCAGAGAGGTTTTTTTTGTTTTGTTTTGTTTTGTTTTACCGGACATTGAACTCAGGACCTTTTGCTTGTGAGGCAGGTGGTGGCACCATTGAGCTAAATCCTCGGCCCTGTAGAGAGGTTTTTAAAAATCTATTTAATCCCAGCATTTGGGAGGCTGAGGCAGGAGGATCACTGGGAATTCGAGACCAGCCTGGGCTACATAGTGAGTTCCAGGTCAGACTCAACTACATAGTGAGACCCTGTCTCAAAAAACCAAAAAAAAAAAAAAATCAATTTATTGCCCGGTGTGGTGGCACACACCTGTAATCCCAGCGCTCAGGAAGCGGAGGCAGGAAGATTGCTGTGAGTTCAAGGCCAGCCTGAGTTACGTAGTGAATTCAAGGCCTGCCTGAACTACATAGTGAGACCTTGTCTCAAAAAAGAAAAAAGAAAAAGAAAAAAAGGCTGAGGATTTAGCTCAGTGGTGATACTGCCTGCCTCCAAGCTCAAGGACTTGAGTTTGATCCCCGGTACCAAAAAAAAAAAAAAAAAATCAATTTATTATGGATGTACCTTGAGATTGTACTCTTAAGTGAAATAAATCGGACACACGTGTTTAAACACTGCTTTGTTTCTCTGGTGTGAGAAAATAAAAATGAAAATAAGAACTAAAATATATAATACATATTGGGAAATCAGAAGAAAATATTCAAATGGGAAGGGAATGGGAGGGAGGAGGGAGAAAGGAAGGAAGGGACAAGAAAGAAAAGAAAAAGTAGAAGAAAAAATTGGAAACAAAGCTTTTGTATATAGGGAGAGGAGGTGGGGCTTGAAGGCATGGAGGAGGATGGGAAAAAAAGAAGAGGCAGGATATATAATATATGGGTGCAAATTCCCTATGGTGAGTGTTATCATTGTGTATATCTAAAATGTCCTAATAAATGTTTTTCTTTGTTTTTTCTTTTTTTGGGGGGGGCTTTGAGACAGGGTCTCACTATGTACTTGAGACTGACATGGAACTCACTATGTAGTCCAAGGTGGTCTCGAACTCACAGTGATCCTCTTGCCTCAGCCTCCCGAGTGCTGGGATTACAGGCATATGTCACCACGCCCGGCCTAAATGTTTTTCTTATAAAATAAAAATCAATTTATTAGCCAGACATGGTGGCAGGTGCTTGTAATCCCAGCTACTCGGAAGGCTGAGGGTAGGATCTCCTGTTTGAGGCCAGCCTTGGTAACTTACTTAGCAAGACCCTGTCTTAAAATTTTAGAAATAAATTAAAAAGGGCTAGTGGTGGAGCACTAGGTTTAATCCCCAGTACCATTTTAAAAAAATCAATTTGTTGACATAATATGTAATGAGATGCACCCATTTTAAGCATATAATCTGTGTTTGGACAAATGAGTAAGTACCATCACCAGGTTCTAGAAGACCTCACTGTGTATGAGTCATGCCTACTCTCACATTCCATATGAATGGAATCACCTGGGATGTGTTTTCTGTTGTCTGGCTTCTTTTTTTTTTTCCTTTTATTGAGTTTATTGGTACATTTAAGGTATACAGTACAATTACGTTCATTATTGCAATCGTGTACCTTTACACGACAGGTCTTGGTTCTCATTTTTTTTCCCCCTGTCCGTGCTTGCCTTATGCCATCCCCCACCCCTTTTTGAGACAGGATCTTGCTAAGTTACTAAGTTTCCTGCTTAGGTTGGACTGGAACATGTTATCCTCTTGCCTTAGTGCATCAGAATGCTGGGACTACGGGCCTCTCACTTTTTTTTTTTTTTTTTGTTCCGGGGATCAAACTCGGGACCTTGCCACTTGCAAAGCAGGCAGTGGAAACACTGAGCTATATCCTTGGCCCTTTTTCATGTGCTTATTGGCCATTTATCTTTATAGTGGAGTTTCTTTTTACATTTTCTTGTCTT